GTGGTATGCTATTGTTATTGGAGTGTGCTCCTGAGCATGTGCCAAACCCACTTCCAGAACCCTCCACGAGCTCCGGTACACTCCTCAGAACGAAACCTAGTCCACGGTGTTTGTCTCTCCGTTTCGGTTGTGGTGATGGAGCAGGTCCCTTGGCGATGCCTCTGGATGCCGTCCATCCAGTTAGTATTCCTCTAATCCAGCACTGATTTAGAAAATTTCTAAAATGTGCTAAGTAGTTTCAGAGGATAATGGTAGATTAAATTCTTTTTCTGTTGTTAAAAATACAACTTGGAACTTTAACATTTCCTATTAACATGAAATTGTGTAAATGGTACTTCCTTAGATCTGTAAGAATTTCGAGTCTCTGTGTACAAATGAGGTAAGGGGTGGGTAGAGACGGTTGGAAGAAAAGAGGAGATAAAAGCCCCATATTCCCAGCACTAACAACTTAAGAAAATCTAGGCTTTTAGCAGCTTCCCACATGCGCTACCTGGAAATATACATCAACAGGAAGCTTTCTGTCCCTCCCAGGCTCTCCGTTTCCCATCCTTGGGTCTGCTGGGGTCGGTGAGTGGGCAGGAGACATTGTCATTGTTTATAATGTCCACAAGCTTGCATGGATGTGAATGACATATATTTAGAAAGCAAAATGAAGCTTTAGGAAGATCTTCAATTTAATGGGAGCTAGTCTAGTCATTTGAGAACCACAGAGCTTTTTAGAGAAAACCCACTTTTGCCAGCTGGAGGAAGTGTGGGTGGATGGGGTCCCTGTGACACCCCTGATGTCAGGTGGCCCCCACCTCGGAGCTGATTGGCTTCTGAGTCGCTGCAGCAGAGTTTAAATTCTGCCCTGTCAGGCAAGTGTTCAGAGCAGCAGCTGGAGAGGGGCTTCTTTGAGAGTCCTCTGTGAAAACCTCAACTTGGCTTTTGACCTTTTGGGAAAAGACCGTGTAAACTTGCCAGGGTAAGACATTTTCATCATTCAATTTTTAAAGTGACTTTTGCTTTGGTGTTTGAAAAATATGAAATATGTACCTGTTCCAAGGCATTGATTCTCAGAGGGAGGTACGGAGAGCTAAGTTTTGGGGACACTGATTCTTATTTTAGTTTTCGTTAAGTCAAAGAAGCCAGGTGTTCTCCTGGTAATGCTCCAATTAGATCTCTGTAATTACCTCTGGCAGAGAAAGTCTGCTAAACAGGGACTGAGGGCAAAGTCCCCTTGGAGTTTAGCTTCAATAGTAAAACAAAACTGCTTGTTATATGGACATTTCTTAGATGTGCAGATGTGAAAGAATCTAAACCTCTGTGGCAGAGTCTCAAAAACACAGTCATGGAAATGAAACACTCATCCTTGTTCATTTAGAGAGCAATGGTAGTCATTAGGAGTTGCATATGCAATTGACAGATGATGTCAGCATCACTGGAAAGAACCAAGCATGTGACCGTTACAGTGTGTATTGGGGTAGTTGGCCATTCATGTTAGTGTAAGGCTTTGTGTACAGATAGACTTCAATAAATGTTGAGTGTCTTTGCCTTTTAGGAGATTTTCTAGGATAGGAAACTCGTGTGTGTGTGTGTGTGTGTGTGTGTGTGTGTGTGTGTATTCCCATCAGGCATGGTTTTACTCTGTACACTTAATTCACTTCATCAATGGAGTATGTGTTTCCACAGCAGGAGTGGTCAGGTCACGTGTTCCCTGCAGCATCTAGAGGATACTGTATGGTATATGCAAGTAGTTCTCAAGAGCAATGGCTCCTGGTTACCTCAAGTTTCTGCCTAACTGACACTCTCGTGGACTGTCCTACCTTAATCTTGTTGATGAAGAACATGCAAACAAACAATTTTCTAAAGGTTATTTAGTCAGTTTGCTGCTCACCCGAGGATGATGTGGACCAGGGTGTCTTAGATGTCTAGAGGTTTTTTTACAACCCATATTTGGGGCTCTTCATGGTTATCCAGGTATATAATATTGAGCTGATAGGAGATGTCCTAGAGGCCACCACAATGACAGAAAGATAGGGAAATCTTATTTGTTCATTTAGTTCTTTGACTTCAAATAGAATTTACATTCTGACAAAATTCCACTTTCCTTTCAAAGAGTCATGGTGAGGAAATTAAAGTAGGCACTGATTAGTTGATCGTAGTATTAGCACTTATTATTTTTATAGTATAAGTGTTGTTTCCTAGCACCTAGAATAATGCCTGGTGCATAGGCTGTTCTCCACGAATATTTCCCAATGGTTAATAAAAAAATTGTTAATTAGTGTTCTCAAGTCTGATGACAAGAAGACAATACACCTAAGTTACTTTTTCAAGGGTTTAGAAAGAACCTATGACTTTCCACTCATTCCTTCATTTCAGTTTCCATCAAAGAAGATCTATACAAGTGAAACTTAGCTTTGAGGAAATTCTAAGACAATTTGCTTCACTTAATATAGAGTTTTGGACACACTTGGAAACTAGACGACAGTCGCTATCAGACCCTGACTATTAGATCTTCTCCATTCCAGAGTCACCATTCAGAAGTGTGGTAAAGTCTCTAGTTCAGTGACTTCCAAACAGCTGCGATTCATGTCATAGCTGTTGGTCCCCTTACTTGGGTGCTCTTACTAAATAACCACATACTGAATGCAAAGATTCTATAACCGGGTATTGAAGGCGAGCTTGTGGCTCCGGCCTCGTGATCTACAGACAGGCCTGTAGCTCCCTTGTTAACCTGGTATTTGGAATCTTCTACTCTTCCTTGGAGAGTAGTTAAAACGTGCACCAAGGTTTGGTGTTTTCATTTGGAAACACACTTTACAAAAACATCAACAGCGCAGCAAGAACGGCTTCCTGAAGACTCAGTATAAGCTTTAAGATTTGCTTTTCTTCAATGGGGCTATGTTCTCTGGGAACCAACATCAGCTCTCCTGTGACACTGGGTTGCCTTGTTTTGGGTTCCCAACCTTTCATTTGGGAAATTACTGCTTTAGGTCGGGATGTAAATAGTGTTTCTAGAAGTCCAAGCAAGTTAGTGCATCTTCCTTCCGCTGCACACCACTCCACTCCCAAGAGACTTCAACAACAATGCCACACCCTTCCTGGTGGAGCCACCACCTTTATTGGTTCAGAGTCACTGAATGTCGCACCTCCACACTTTTGTTTTTAGGTAACAGAGAAATTAAAGGGAAAGACCTCAGTAGTCACTGGTGTTTTCAGGCATATTTTGCAGAGTTATGAAGTTATAACTCTACTCAAATTGGGAAATCAGAGTGGAGATTTGTATAGCTTTTCTTCACCCACGATGCCAAAGCTATTGACATGCAGTTATTTTGAGAAAATTGCATTTGGGACTTTTTTTAAAAATCTTTTTTAAAACAATGAATCTAAGAATTTGGAAAAATGTTTTTATGGCAGGAAACCACATCTGTTGAATTGGACTTATTTTAGGTGCAGTTGAACATGTTTATATTTTTTCTAGAAAATATAAATAAATAAAATCTTAGATAATGAATGTAAGAATAAATTTATATTCAGTGTGCTAACTTCTAATAAAGAATACATTTTCAATTTCTCATTTTATACTAACATGATGTTTGATAGCCAAACTCATGAATCTACGCTTAAAAGTCTTTTCAGTTTATAGAATGTATTTATGTATGAAGAAAGAACCTAGTGAGTAGGGAGTTTGAAATGAAATTGCAAAACTTTTGGGAACACATGAAAGTCAATCATGTGTGTCTGTCAGAGCAGCTGTGAGGGTTTTACTGATGCAGGAAAATGATTTCCCTTCAAAGTATCTTGATAGGGTTTTTCGTCAGCGTTGGGAAGGTCTATGCTGAGGTAAAGAAGAAATTATTTTTGTAGCTACTGGCTTACAGAGTTTGCGATGAAGGGCAGCTTGATTTGGCCTGTTCCTCTTAGTGTGACTCACAAGTGTATCCCAGATCTCTAGTCTTCTCTGGCTCCTTCCTTGCTGTGAATGGCACCTAAGAGAATCCAGCACAATCATGTATAATGTATGACTGAATGCATTAGGGTAGACATTAAAAGCTTTCTGGGCTGTAATATGAAGCCTGCCACAGCACGTGGCTTGAAGATCAAAACAAAAGAAAAAAAAACAAGTTAGTTTTGTCTAGACTTTATTATATAGCTATAAGGATGACTGAGTGTGCGAATGTGTGCATATGTGCTTGCGCGCGCGTGCACACACACACACACACACACGGTGGGGGACAGAGAGGCAGAGGGGGTGTTGATTTTAGGGGAATAAACTGGCTAGCTGCTCTGTAATTCTACAGCACAGAATTACTATAAAGTGTTTTGATTTACCGGGAAGCTTCTCTATTCTCTTTTCTCTACCCACTTTCTCATTTGTATTTTATGAGTTCATGCAGAAATGTTTGTAGGTGTCCTTTTTGAGGTATTTTTGTCTCTGAGGAGTGAGGTTTTGTTGATGTTTTAAACGGAGGTGTAATTTGTATAACACTTCCTCTGTTTGACGCGCATAGCTGAGCGGTTTTCAGTGCATTCCCAGATGTGAACATTTATCCCCTTTACGGATATTTTCATCACCTACCAAAGACATCTGCACCTTCCAGCCATCACCTCTCAACACCCTATCTTTCCAAGCCCCGAGAACCACAAATCTGTTTCCTTTGTCTAAAGATGTGCACATTCTAGACTCTTTATATAAACGAGTCATGCAACTGTGTGTGGTCTTTTCTAGAGGCCTCATTTTCAACCTGCATAATGCGGTCAAGGCTCCTCTGCTTTGTAACACATATCAGGGCTGCGTTCTGTTTTATGGTCAAATGCTATTCCGCCATAGAGGTGCAGTATGCATTCTCTGTCTAGTCATTCATCAGAAGAGGAACATATTTAAGAGGCTCTTTTTGTTTTTTTTGTTTTTTTTTTTTCTGATAGAGAACAAGGTAAAAGCAAAAGCACCCTGGTTTCTGTATTCTGAAGTGAAACATTCATGACTTTCGTTACAGGTAGAGGAATCACATCCAAATATGAAGACTGGTATCCTACTTATGTTCCTCTGGGGATTATCCTGTGCTCTCCCGGTAAGTACAATGGTAGAGATATTATCCTTGTGTGTACTGGAAACAGCATCGCTTTCAGTGACTTTGAACCAGTTGGTTGTGCATGCTTCAGTAAGACAAGGGTCATAGTCGTTTGTTTGGGAGGCTGTCTTCTTTAAACACTGGCCAAATTATTTCTTATTCAGGTTACTTCCATTCTTATGACTGCTGTTCTCATCTTCATCCTTATAGCAGTGGTCTTCAGAGAGACACCCCGAGTCTCAGAATCAGCACTAATTAGGCTCTGTTAGAAATTCGCATTCTTCACTCCTACCTCAGACCCACAACCAAGATTCTCAAAGAATGGACATAGAAGTTCAGCAAGGCCCCCACGTGGTCCTAAGATAGGTTAAGAGTCACCTTTCATTGCCCCAGCATGTAAAGGGTTAATAAATGCTGCCTTGAGAATTTCCCTGCAGGTTTATCGTGTATATTCTTCTTTCTAGGTTGCCAGATATCAAAATACTGAAACCGAGAGCTCGAAAGAGTGGATGGTGAGTAGAAAATAAAATGCTCTGAAATATTTCAATTTTAATATTGATGATAAAATTTTTGATAAATGAAAAGTTTATAAATATCTAAGCTCTAAGTAGTAAGAACTATGACTTTTTTTTTTTTTTTTTTTTGGTTTTTCGAGACAGGGTTTCTCTGTGGCTTTGGAGCCTGTCCTGGAACTAGCTCTGTAGACCAGGCTGGTCTTGAACTCACCTCTGCCTCCCGAGTGCTGGGATTAAAGGCGTGCGCCACCATCGCCCGGCAGAACTATGACTTTTAATTCATATAAGAAAATAATGTTTCAATTCTCACATAGTGCAATTGGATGAGGGAACCTTTTCTAGCTTCATTCTTATAATGACGGGTACCGTGGTACAGGGGGATGACTAACAATGAGCCAGCTGTTCTGGAGAGACCGAAACTTGACGTTTGCAAACAAGAGCTGTCTAGAAGGCAAGGAGAAGAGAAGCCAGAAATGAGGAAAGAAGAATGAAAAGATACTAGAGGCCTTACGATGGCGATGCCCACTGGGTGCTGAACCCTCAGTCACTCTAGCGGCCAACTGCCAGTCACTCAGGAACCACTGCCAGGCAGAGTTCTATTTCTTATGAACCCTACTTCTCATTTTCCTATCGGCACAATGAACTAGGCATATTTTATTTCCTATGTACTCAGCAGAAATGGAAGCACAGGGATTCATGTCGTTTGTCCAGGTTATATGCTTTACTAAACGGTAGAGGGAGACCTTAAGTTTCTGACACTGTGGCTGACGGGTCAAGAAAGGAGCCAGGGCCAGGAGGTCTGCCGTTCTCGCGACTGGCCCTGCAGGTCAAGATTAAACACTACCTCAGAGAGCGGTGCTCATTGCTTTGCTTCTTGGTGGCTTTTTCATAGGATGCAGCTTAGGCCCAATGCTCTTAGTACTTACTAAACAAAATTGGAAGCCTGGAGTTGGGTCCTGCCCCTGCGTAGGGTGAGAATAGGCATTGCAGGACACACTGTGGACTTCTGCCCATTGGCTGTAAATCTCTCTCATTTAAAGAGAGACGTACAGGTTATTTCTTGCTCTGACGTCATGAGAAAAACACCATTGCTTTGCTCTCTTCTGGCTGCTAATTCCCAGTAGTTGCTGGCCGGGGTAATTTGCACCTGGGCCTGCTTGTCGCACCATAGAGCAAAGACAACTGTTCGCAGCTCTTTCTCTGAGATTCCGCAGACTAGCACTGTTGAGAGGCAGGTGGAAGACGTGCCGTTAGCAATTGTCCCCTTTCCTATGTAGTGCCTTGGGTGTGTCACATAGGACTTTTCCGTGTTGAAGGAAAAGGCGAAGAGCAGAGATGGTGGGGTCGGGGGACAGGGCAGAATGTGTTCACCAATTCTCAGGCTTCTGAGACTGGAGAAACCCAAGGGTGACTGTTTCAATGACATTTAATGTTTGCCTTTGATGTCATTTTCCTCTGCAAACTCCACAAAGGGCTTAGCGGCTTTCTCTATTCACTTTTATATATTCTTGAATTTTGCAAGGTGGAAATACTCAAAATGGATTATTTCTTTGGGTTATTATGTCATACTGAACAGCAGCAAAGATGTTCCCATGCTATTGGCGGGGTCCATTCTCACAGCCACAGTGTGGTATTGCACACCGCATTGTAATGTTCTTCATATATGAATAAGGAACTGTCAGTCAACCGAAGAGAGCTGCCCACCTTCTGTATCCAGGCAGCATTCCAGATCACCTGAGCCTTAAGAGTTCCCAGGACACATGACTGTCAATGCCAGCATGGCTCTTTTTAAGGCCAGCATCAGGAAGCAGCAAGCTAACTGCGATTAATGTTGTTCTATATTACGTTTCCTTCTGTTGTAGGGGCAGCCAACTTCAGAGCAGCCGCACTGGGTGAAATGTCAGAAATACAGAAATCTTTCATTTTTATTTCAACATATATCTCAAGTTATTACTTATTTCACCTCAGATGTTAGACATTTTATCATAATACAAAAGTATGATACCTTCAAGTTTAAAAATCACCTGAAGTTATTCTAAATATTTGCAGTAGCATAACCACTTCCAAAGAATAACTGACTTTTCTTCCTTTACGCAGGATGATTTGGCTCAGTCACCACCACCACCTACGGTAACTATTTTACTTATTTTTGTCATACATGTCTTATAAAGTAACTTTAATACCCTCTTCCCCTTCGCCATTCTGAAAGTAGTAAAAATAAATGTTGAGCAAGTGATGTGTATCGTATTTTCTCTTGGGAATTACAAAAGAAAAATAAACATTATTCTTTTCTCTTTCAGAACAGTGAGTCATCAGAGGAGAGTAAAGTTAGCTCAGAGGAACAGGTAATTAAACAAGGCTCCCTTGGCCTCTCTGGCTGCTTAGGAATTGAAGGAAAATCATGGGCGATTAAATTACCTGGCAGCAGTTCTAAATATAATATTTTCTAACCATTGGTTATGCGGGATAAACAATCCCATAAAATAAAAAAGGAAAAGTGAGAGAATAAAATTCAAATGTGAACATACTGTTCATTCCATTTTTATCACCGGAGACATTGTGTCCCTAAATGTCCCTTAGTTAAAAAAAAAAAAAAAAGAGGGAGAGACAAAATAAGGGGGAAAAACCAACAACTAAAACACATGCGCGCGCGCACACCCACCCACCCACACACACACACAGAGACACAGAGAGAATATGTTACATAAGTTATGACCTTAATAAAAACAACTGCTTTAGGAGTGCCTGTCTCTTTAAGACAGTCCCAATGTGATCCTGGGGGATAAGAGAGCCAGAAAGCTAATATCTTTTATTTAAAAGCATCATGTGTATGCACTGGGGATCAAAGCCAGCATCTCATACTAGGAAAGCGAGGGCTCTTCCACTGAGTGCTCTCTCAAGCTTTGTCCCATCACTATGCTCAAGCAGTCATGTGATGCAGGATTGTGGTTCTTTCTGCAGTACAGGCCCGCTTTGTACCCTCTACAGGGCCCAGCTTAGGAGATAGGTCACTAGCCTGCTTATCCTTATCTACTAAATATTCATCAAAGATTGTTAGAGAGATTCAATACCATAGCCTTTGGGGAAACGCCCCTTTAGGAGAGGATTCATGATTTATCGACTTGGCGCTCTGTCATTTCTCAAGGGAGGATAAGAAACAGCTGCTTGAGAAAGGTGTGATGTATAATTAACGAGGCAGGGTAGGGTTGCAGCATTGAGGGATATGTCATATAAAATAAAAAGTAGCTAGGTACAGTGGCTCATGCCTGTTCAGGCAGGAGGATCACCCTAAGTTTAACTCCAGCCTGGGCAACACAGCAAGTCCAAGTTCAGCATGGGTTACAGGATAAAACACTGTTGAGACAGACAGACAGACAGGCAGACAGTAGATAATACATAGGTAGATAATGATAGATGATAGATAAATAATACTAGATCGTTAATAGGTAGATAAAGATAGATATCGATAGATAGACAGGTAGATAGATAGACAGACAGACAGAGAAGTTGAGTGTCAGTTCGTTCTTCCCTCCTCATTTAAGTTCTGACGGTGATGTGAGAACATAGGAGGAAAGGCCGACAGAGCCCCCTCTAGAGAGTGCCCTCTCCATCAGCTCCTGGACACTGACCAGAGCTGTTTACCTTCATTTCAGGCAAGTGACGAGCCCAGTGACAGCATTGAGTCTGAAGAGGACATGGACACAGACAGTAACCAGTCTGCTTCTAGACCTGCCGGTGGTCTCCCTAAGAGTGTGGGGACAGAAGCTGATAAGGAAGATGACGAAGATGACAGTGGAGATGACACCTTTGGTGACGAGGACAATGGCCCAGGGCCTGAATGGAGACGACGCTCCAGACTGGACAGTGATGAGGACTCTGCAGACACCACACAATCCAGTGAAGACAGCACCTCTCAGGAAAACAATGCCCAAGATGCCCCCAGTGACAGCAGGGACCACAGCAGTGAGGAGGAGGCAGACAACCGGCGTGAGGCAGGTGACTCCACTCAGGACAGTGCGAGTGACGAACGTTGGGTGGGAGGTGGCAGCGAGGGCGAGAGTAGCCACGGGGACGGCTCTGAGTTCGATGATGCAGGGATGCTGAGCGATGACCCTGAAAGTACTGGGAGCGATCGGGGCCACTCCAGAATGAGCAGCGCCGGTATCAGGTCCAAAGAATCAAAAGCGGACCATGAGCTCAGGAGCACGCAGGATTCAGATTACAGCCAATCTGTGGAATTGTCAAGCAGCAAGTCCTTTAGAAGGTCCCAGGTCTCCACGGAAGATGATGGAGGTGAGCTCGCTGATGGCAATAGCAGGGAAACCCAGAGCGACTCCACAGAGGACACGGCCTCCAAGGAGGAAAGCAGGAGCGAGTCTCAGGAGGACACAGCCGAGAGTCAGTCCCAGGAAGACAGTGCAGAGGGACAAGACCCCAGCAGCGAGTCCAGCGAGGAGGCTGATGGGCCATCCCAGGAAAGCAGTAGCGAGTCTCAGGAGGGGGTGGCCAGGGAGTCCAGGGGCGACAACCCAGATAACACTAGTCAGATGGGAGACCAGGAAGACAGCGAGTCCAGCGAGGAGGACAGCCTGCACACGTTCTCCAGCTCAGAAAGCCAGTCCACAGAGGAGCAAGCTGACAGTCAGTCCAGTGAGAGCCTCAGACTCTCAGAGAGTCAGGAGTCAGCCCAGGATGGGGAGAGTTCCAGCCAGGAAGGCCTCCAGTCTGAGAGCGCTTCCAGGGAGAGCAGGAGCCAGGAGAGCCAGTCCGAGCAGGACAGCCGTTCTGAGGAAGAGGGGGACAGCGACTCTTGGGACAGTAGCAGATCCAAAGAAGAGAGTAACTCTGCAGAGAATGCTTCAAGCAGTGAGGAATACAGCCATCCCAAAAACATGGAGGCTGACAGCAGGAAACTGATGGTCGACGCTTACCACAACAAACCCATCGGGGACCAAGACGACAACGATTGCCAAGATGGTTACTAACATTAGCTTGTGTAAGAAATGGCTCTCAGAGGAAGGAGTCTTGGGGGCCTAGGAGTAGGGAGTTCACTGCAACTGTAACTTATTGATGTTTTGATCAGAGGTAAAACCAGGGCCATTTCTTTCCGTGAGGAACTGTTTAATACTACACTGTCCTAGCGAGTCACCCACTCCCTAGAAGTTTGAGTAACGTGGCATGAACACACACAGTAAACGTGAACATAGGGATGTGTGCGCCCAGTAGCCCCGACTCACTAGCCTGACCGTTTTGGGGGTTCTGTTAAGTACTAGGCACAGCACTAGGTCCCTGGGACGGAAAGGTGCTTCAGGCTGAGTTTTGCTCCCGAGGAGCCTACGGAGAGATATGCAAAATGAAAACATTAAAGGGGAACACTGAAGGGAGCCCGTGCCATGGCTGAGGCTTGTGCAGAGTGCATGGCGGCTCAGCAAGGGGGACCAGCTTCGCTTAGGAGAATGAGAGGGTTTCACAGCCAAGGGGGACCAGCTTCGCTTAGGAGAATGAGAGGGTTTCACAGCCGCAAGGACTGGAGTTGCAGGGTTACCTAGGATTCTCCATTGAAGACAACATAATTCTATTTATTCTTGAGATAACCATTATTAAATCGTATCCAGTGAAATGTTTGGTTTGTAAAAGCACTCTCAAACCAAGGCCCAGTGGGATATCTTGGATAAATATTTTTTCCCAATTAATTTACCCCATTCAGTGATTTTTGTGGGCCTTCTGTAAACAGTGCCTTATTGATGATGAAATGGAAAATTTGGTGGGGAGTTAGGAGGAAAAATAATTTAAAAATAAAAAAAGCTTTATTTTTTCCAAACTACCCCGAGTCTTTTATATGTGTTGCACATAGCAAAATTCTGTACATAGGGCTGGACTCTTTTTCTTTGTTTTTTTTTTTTTTTCTCAAATGCTATTGAATGAAGTGTTACCTCATGGAAAAGTATTTGTTTTGTAATAAAGATAATAATACCCCAAGGAATTGTGTGCTTATTTATTATGGTGCCTTTGTTTACTAGAATATATTCAAGGTAGACAATCCTTATTTTTGAAACATTTCCAATTATTTTGTTTAATCTTTTAATATAAAAATCTTTTTTTCCCTTAAATTACTTAATGAAAAATGTCTTTGGAAGTACACTAGCAGGATGATCAAATGATATGTTGCAGAGGGCCAGAGGGATGGTTTACTGGGTCTAGCTCATCTGGCTCACGGAGAGGACCTGAATGTGGACCCAATGCCCACCTTTGGTGGCTCACAACTGTAGTAGGGGCTGCGGGGCTGCGTCCCCGGCACCCTGGCCCCCTGGCTAGCTTATGCCCCGAAATAACAACACACAAACTGTATTCTTTTAAACACTGCCTGGCCCATTAGTTTCAGCCTCTTAACCCATTTCTAATAATCTATGTAGCACCACGAGGTGCGCTTACCAGGAAAGATTCAGCATGTCTGACCTGGTGGCTGGCTGCATCGCCGTCTGCCTCAGAGAGCAGAGCTATCGCGTCTGCCCGGCGGGAGAGGGGAGCATGGCGTCTCTGAGCTCACTTCCTCTTCCTTCCAGCATTCTGTTCTGTTTACTCCACCCACCTATGTTCTAACCAATAAAATGGGCCAAGGCAGTTTCTTTATTTTTTAACCAATGACCTTCCTCCATCACACAACTGCCCATAACTGCTATCATTTAAAAAGACATGGGGAACCAAAGGCCGGTCTCACGAGGGACTGCACATCACCCCGGGCCTTGATGGGAAGATATCTGCTTGTTTAGGCAGAAGAGGGGGTGAGGGTTCGGAGTGGGCGGTGCTTGTTTCTAAAGGGACAGGGTCCCCAGGTGACAGACCAGGCCAGCAGATTATAACAGTAACTCCATCTCCACAGTGCTCTTGTGCCTGTGTCCTCCAAGTGGCACCTGCATTCATGGGCACATGTCCCTTCCCCCACAGACATACACATAACTGAAAATAAAAATGTATGTATTTGTGACAGTTCACTAATTAGAGGAGATTTGATTCTTAGCTTTGGTCGGAGGCCTTCACAGAAGCCTGTGATGTTTGAGACCAGTATTACTTCATACTGTTTTCAAATGCCCATCTGTGTATTCTAGAAGGTCCAGAAAAACAAAATCCTTAAGCATTTGTGTCCTGGAGGAGAATCATTTCCCCTCAGCACTTCGGGCTCCTAACTGTTTCCCTTCGGATGACAGTGCAGTGCTTATGAATTTCCCGCCACTGAGTTAAAAGAGTCCGGAGGTAGGTCTGATCCCTTTGTCTTCCCTCTCAAGGTCAAAGCTGCATTCCCTTGAGGATATATTCGTGCATGTACATACCTAACTATGCACGCGTGTTTTCTAATCCTTCCCTTTGAGATTCTAAGTTAGGGGGTCTGGAGCATGATCTGGAGTTATTCTGCCATAGCCTGCTCATACACATGTGTCTGGGTTCTAGGCTCTTTGTAGTGACTGTCAGGCTTCCTGCAAACTCAGAGCTCTTTCAGAGATAATTGTCCCATTTTGGGGCCTCTTAGGTGCCTGAGGCATACCTGACAGTATTTCGAAACTCATTGAAACAGTTTAATATTTATCCTTATGAATATATATGCATTTTATATATGAATATAATATGTATATGTAGAGTCAGAGAACATGTGATTACATTTGTAATTGCATAATATCCTGTTTCTTAACTCAAATATTGAGTATCTTTTCCTTATTTACTAGCAGAAGAGAAAAGTATTTACTGGGCTTTAACATTATTGTACCCTCCTAGCTTTTAATTTTATTTATTTATTATTTAATATTATTCAGATGAAATTGATTTTAGACTGAATTATCAAAGTGACATTAAAAATGCACAAAATTCAGTTAAAATCAGTAAAATGTTGGCCTTTGAAAATGTGGGCAAGGGAGGGACTCCTCAGCATGTAATCCGCTCTGTAGGATGGCCTGAAACCACTTGGTAAATTACTGCATAAGAACGGTGGTTATTGATCAGAACTTTACATTGAGATCCAGCAAATTCATGTACAGCAGCGGGTCTTGCTGTCTGGGTGAAGGTGGGAAAATGAGACGAGGTGGCAAACAACCCCTTTCTACCCCACTGTATGCCTCTAACGATGGCGGTTCCCGGGCTGGCCTGCAGCTCCCCCCAGGGCCTTTAAAAAGCTCCTGCTCTGGCTCTATCAAAAAGGTCCTGGGGTTAAAATCAGCCTGGCATTAGTTTTGGGTTTGATGGTGTTTTACAGTACCAGGTCATTGTAAAATGTAGCCATGTAGCGAGCTTGTACTATGCTGTAATAGTCAACTCTGGGACCTTTTGACTACTATTAGGCCTATGTAGAGGTGAAGAAAACACACTAAACAAGCTATAACCCCGATTTATTTGCTGAACTGGATCCCAGCACCCCCACCCCTCAGCGTCACAGGTATGCTCGATTCCTCTGACAAGAAGCAGGTGCCGCATTTGGTACCAGGCATATGAACCTCACTAGCCCCCAGATGATAATAATTAAACAGCCAGTCATCAGAAAACAAACGAAAAACAAACGCCCCCCCCCCAACAAAGATGTTTTGATTTTTGAGAAACTGACTTTCGCTGGTTTAGATAAAGCCAGGACTTCTCTGAGTTTTCTTCTCGCTGTTTTTCTATCAGCGTTGGCTTCATTGTCAAGGTAAGTCAGGATCTACATGTGTACAAGGTTTCCCCCTGCCTTTGTACCTGACACAGCAGACAGAAGTCAGCGCCGGAGAAGGGTCTTCGGAGTAGGGGGCCCATGGTGAGGAACCTGCCTGCCTTTGGCACAGATCACGGCTGCTATTTGAAGCAACTGAATATACACGAAGCGACTGCTCAGAGGCCTGGCTGTGGAGCTGACACCACAGGGAACGTTGCCCCTGTCTTGGATAACACAGTCTGGCCTTTACAGAGGGCAGGCCCGGAGACTGCTGGGAGTTCCTCGTGGGGAAGAAGGCTCTGTGAGCATAGGGGAAGGTGAACTGCTTGTCACCATCACTTTATCGTGTCACCCCATCTCCTTCCAAGGGCCACCTCTGCTCTACTCTGCTCCTGGCCGGCAGTACCAAGTATAGTCTTCTGTGCTGTCTCAAAAGGCCACCGTGCAAGTAAGAGAAGCCCACGCCGAGAACCTCCTGATCCCCTGAGAAGGGGATTTCAGATAGATGATAATTGTCTTTCAAGGGGAAAAATGAAGACCTATTTCCACCATTTTCTAGAAACTGTGTGCACAGTTAAGGGGCACTGCTGAGAGTTTCTCTCTGAGAATAGAATGTGCTTGCTCTGCTTTCAAACAGTAGGCGGCTATCCAGGGCGCCATAGAGGGCACAGCCAACTCGCCCCGGCGCACAAGGTCCCAGACACGGTTCATGCACACCATGCGCTGCAAGCACGTACATTTCCTATAGTAGCGGTTGGAATCATTTTTATCGGCTCATCAAAGTACACACGTTTCTTGTTTTATAGTTTTCACGTCGTCACAAGTAACCCAAATTATCTGTGCACCTTTCTTCTTTTTTCTTAATAATATTAGCGATGAAGCAGCCAGCAACTTTGTGCTAATATTATTTTGCTACTTACCATACTAAGGTGATCAGTTCTGAATGGAGTAAAAACAGCACCCTCCACCAGACTTCTGCCACGATGCCCTGCCGTTTACCCTCCCAGCCAGTCTGAATGGAGAAACAAGCACACAGGATCTGGAGCCTAGTCTACAGAACTGAAAAGCACATTTAACTAAGCTAGATTTCTTGACTTAAGGCTGGCAATTTGATGGCACCATCTGATAGCAAATATGCAACTTACTCAAAGAGAACAGCAATTCCTAAATTGTAGCCTTTCCAGAGCTCAATGTAGAGAGTTACAATTTAACAATACCATTATGATTTAAAAGATGAACATGATCATTACGTGTAATTGGAACTTCTTTCTCCTCCCTCCCCCTCCCTTCCTCCTCCCTTGCCCTTTCCCGCTTCCTCCTCACTCCCTCTCCAAGGCTGCCTTCAATGTCTCTGGGCCTCCAGTTCTTTATCCTTCTCAGACTCCTGCGTACTGGGATTACCTATGTCGGTCATATCCTGGAACTAATATTTGTATGAAAGTGATCCAGTGTTGTAATTTCCATAAAGACCAGCAGATGGCAGCATTGCTTGCTGTTGTAGCCCATGAGCGCCTGGAGGAAAATGGGAACCAGCACGCAGGCGGATGGGTGAGTGTTGGACAGAACGCAGTGCGCAGGGCGGGGTGGGGTGGGGGA